TGGTGTGGGTCTGGGACTGGCCGCCCCCAGCCGCCCCCGCCCCCACCGCGGCCGCCTCGGGCTTTGCTTCCCTCTCCCCGGCGGGGCTGGAGGTTCTCTAGGTGTTTCTATGACTACATTGTGTGTGTGGGAGGGTCAGATGTGGGGGTTGCCCGCGAGGGCCGCTCCTGGGCGATCATTTATCAATGTCACCCACATAATGATTCTCTCCGCAGCCTCCTAGTGATGAGGATAATTACATTAGCTCGGAGTGACTGATCAATGAAAAACCACCACACAAAAACTTCTTTACTCCTCTGTAATGCCAAAAACCGATACAGAAATCACATAGAAAGCCTGGTTTTTCTTTCCCTTCCCTGTCCACCAATGGATTCTGCTCCCCCTACGTCCCCCCCGCCCCCCCCAAAAAAGGGCAGGGGAGAGTAAAGTACGAAAATAGACCCAGGTTTGTTTCAAGAAGGATGCAATTCTGCCCCTGAATGCATTTTCTTCAATGTGTTGGCTTCATTCCTCCTTTGGTAAAGAATATCAACGGATTTGCTACTGTGAGTTGCTTTTAGACGCGTTTGTGGTTTTCTGTTCTTTTTATTTGTTTTCTCCCCTTTGGGTATTTTTTTCTGAGGGGGGGGCGATTCTTTTATAAATAACTGGAAAGCAAAATTACTCTAGGTCTCCCCCCCCCTTTTTTTGTAAAGTGTTTGCCTAAGTCGGGTTATCTTTTGTCTTTATCACTTCATAAAGTAGCGCAATTAAAGATGTGATGTTGCATGGGTATAAAGGGTGGATCCATAATACGGCGGCATAATACGCTGTTTTCTTGCCTGAAAGTTCGCAGCTAAATTACGATTTCCCTTTTCCTAGACTTCAAAATCAATATTTTCTCAATTAAAGGGAATTTTAATGCTTTCCTTGCGAGTTGTTAAAGGCGCTGTAAATTTTATTGCACTGCTTCTTGGCTTCGGAGTAGATGCAGACCGCTGGGCTCTTCTGGGCTTTTCCTCTCCCAGGGACATCCAGGTGTCAGAGCAAATGCAAGCAACAAAGGTAAGGAGGTTCCTAGCAGGAGGGGCCTCGCCCCGGGTGGGGAGCCGGCCAGGGAGTCCTCCAGTGCCAGAGGCCATGGTTTAGAACATTGTCACCTCTCTGTGTCCCACCTCCCGAAAATGACAGAAGTGTCCATTTCACTCTGATGTTTCTCAGAGGGGAGCACGTTCCACTCCCATCTGCTCTGTGCTGGTCAGAAAAGAAGCTGTGTTTGGGGAGCCTTCTGAACTATCCCCAATGCCCACCACTCCCCCTTTTCTATTCTCTTTCCTTATTTCTCCAAAATTTAACTCCTAACTGGTTCACAAATTCTGCCATAGTTTATGTGTCCTGGCCTCTATGTCAGAACTCATTCCCCAACCTCAAGAGCACTCACTGTTTACAGATGTTTTCTCCCTCCACACATCCCACCTAGTAAAAGTTCCCGCAGAGAATTAAGTGGGGTGTGTTAATAGCCCCGGCCTGCTACTGCTCTCTCCTGCTAAGCTGAGGTCTGGGAAGCTGGCGAATGGCCCTGAACCAGTGTCAGGGAGCTGCTCCCGGCCCGCAGGAGCCCAGAGACTTGGGAATTCCAGGCCCAGGGACTTGGTGGGAAGCAGGGTAGTGAAACTTTCCGAATGTCAGACAGGAAAGAGAATAAGAAAATGAGGCTAGAATGGAACCTAATAGGAGAAGAATAGGACCAGGCAGGAAAAAACATACAAAGCAAAACAAAAAATCAAGGAGCCTTTGGGACCTCTTTGTAATTTAAAAAGAAATACTAATGAAAGGAAACTGAATACCTAAGACTTGCTATTAATTTTTTTTATACCCTGTGTCTGTTTAAGAACAAGTCCTCAGAGATGCCAGGAAGGACCAGAGGTTCCAAATGGAACCACACACCCACAAAGTTCCTTTGCAGTTCCCTCTACAGTTAATTTGCTGGGAATGAGAAGACCAGGGGAAGGGCTATGTGTGTGGTGTACCAAGGGCTTAAGTAAGAGTCTAATGGGAAGGGGCACCTGTATATAATGAGGCTGCTGTTACAAGCTGAGTAAGAGGGGACATAGAGAAAAAGCCACCCAACAATTCACTTTAAAGTATTCTCACCTATCTGCCTTTCTGTTTCACTCCAGCCACACACTCTATCAAATATTATGCAAAGGGGGGGGGGGAATGTCCAGTTCATCATCTTTTGTCTATAGACCCACCGGATTGATCTCCTTTCCCTTAGATTCCTGACATGTAAGCCTAGACCATGGCCTTTTTATCAAGTGAGTGGGGCTTTGTTAATGTATTTGTACTTTTCTGCTTTCAGTCTAAGTTTCTCGCTTTGGAGGAAGGAGGGGGTGCAAGAAAGGAGGGGGAGGGGAGCTTAACACAAAGACTTTAGTTCTCACCAAGCAGGTTTCAAAATAGGAACTTAATGGGAAGAAAAAGGAAAGAATGAAAAAAAAAAAAAGAGGGGGTGAGAATGATCACAACAGGTTTTCTTGTCTGAAAGAGAAGTAATTCTGTGAATATTTTTCTCTTTGAGGATTCTGTTTTCTTCCTATTGAAACATTTTCAAATTTTAATCCTCCGGCAGACAAAACCTCAATATAAATATGACATAGGCCACTGGCAGAAACACGAACTTAAACTCTGCTGAGAAAGGAGGGGGCTGTGGGAGGAGAGAGAGCCCTTTCTGATTAATAACTAGCAGGGTAATGTTGAGGGCTTTTTCTGCCCGATTGCCTTTTTGAATTAGAGCCGATTTCTTCACACTTCAATAGTGCCTGTCTCCTTTAAAATGACTGGCAGATTTGTTTCTCTTTTTTTCTCTCCTGGAGACTTAATGATGTAAATTTTCTAATTAGGTAAATCATATTGCTTAAAGGCCTAATATTTGTCGTGTAAGAAATGATCATCCTGGTTTGGACCTCTTGAAATATTCTGAGGAATAACACTTGGCTTTAGGTTGAGGGACGAGAGGAGGGAGCTCTATGACGGGAAGCCGTTTAGAGGAGAGAAGGCGCCGACCGGCAACATGTTAAATTAATAGCTGAAGTTGAGCCGGGCTCACACCCCAAGCCCGCTTTTATTTTTCAATCAGCGAAGGTTTAATTGGCATCCCTCAGGCCTGGAGATCTGATATTTTCTCATTAGTTTCTCATCACTAATCTTGAGCGTTAGATTGGCTTAAAGGTTGTCAACATTTGACCAATTTTATTTAAGGAAAATAAAAATCACTGCGTTATGGCTCCGGGATGTGGGATCTACGAATAAATCCTGCTTGGATCAGCGGAACTAACAGGCGAAAAAAATGTTGACTATTCATCGTCGCATTTAATAAGTTGCATTCATGTGTGTTTCGAGGCTGGGAAGAGGTATTATACTAGTGCAGGGGCTGCAGAGATGCAGATGAGAAGAGGTTGATGGGAAGGGGTGTGCACTACAAGCAGGGTGGGCAGGTAAAGTGAGACGTAGGTACGTTTGGAAAGGAGGGTAAATAACCCAAGTGGGAGAGCTGGTGAGGGTTTAGGGAGCTACAATTCCCCCTCCCCTTCCTTTTGCAGTTGCGTGAAACTGCAAAGCCTGTCTCGCAGCTCTGGGCGGCTGGGATGTCTTGTCCAGAGATAACGTCAGCGCGCCCCCTGCTGGCCAGTAGAGCAGAACGCTGAGGGGTCAGCCCTCCGAGAAGCAAAGGGTGCTTTTCTGCGCCCCCGCCCCCCTTCACCGCTTCCTTCCACTGCCCCCACCTCGGTTCTGCAGCCAACCCCGCGGGAGGGGACTAGCTTGACAAGGCTGAACACTTAAATGAGTAAACGATAAAAATAATAATAAAATACGAAGGGACCCCCACGCTCAACTGTTCACTTGGCCTCCAGGGAATAAACTATCAAAGGACTAGGAAAGGGACACGTGTTCTGTTTCTAAACCTCTTTATTCTCTGGGTTTTCGCTGTCGGTTGTTTGTTTCTGCCGAACTGTAGGTTCCGAGTCCAAAGAAATGTTGTTAATAGATGCAGTAGAAGATTTATTTTTTTAAAAAATGGATATCTCGTGGGGAAAGAGGCCAAGACAAAACAATACATTGCAGCCTAGCGAAATCAAACTCCCAGGGAGCGAGCACTATTTCAGTCAAGTCCCCAGGAGTCACCCTCGGAATTCAGACAGCTCCTTGTCTCGAATGACCCTGTCTTCCCACGCCAGGAAATACGGGCCCCTGTCCGATTTTGTTTATTTCAAAATAGAGACCGTGTTTAAAAGTTGTCACAGTCCTACCTGCCTACACACACACACACACACACACACACACACACACACACACACACACATGCACACGCAGGTCTTTGCACCGCAGGCTCCTGATCTCTCTCCTCCCGTGTTCCTCAGTTTTGCTGGAAACGGAAAGGCTGGCCCAAGGGCTCCAACGCGGACCTCCAAGGTCGTGGGCACTTGGTCTGACTCTGGCGCTTCCCATCCAATGCAAGGTGCGGGGCTGGTCCGATGTGAGGTGCCGGGGCTGTTCCCCGCGGTTTCGGTGCACAGAGGCGTGTTCCCGGCGCCCCGAGGACTCCTCCCGGGATTTCTCGCAGCCCGCCCGACGCGAGGGCGCCCGGGACCCGGAGCCGGGCCGTCTCTGGCTGGCGGACCCGCCGGCTCTGCCGCCAGCCCCGCTCTCGGAAAACTGCCCGGCAGCCCGACTCCGAAAAGTCTTCCGGCCGCAGCCAGACCCGCGCCGAGAGTGTAAACCTGCAGGGCGGAACGACTTTAGTTTGTGGCTTTACTTTCTAAAGGGCCGGGGTGCGGGATTGTGTGCAAACATCTCCGGCAAGGGAGGCGCGAGGGAGGGGACGCCGGGCCGGGAGGACGGCAGGGGAAAGGTGGGTCTCTTGATGTTCATTTCTTGTCTGTTACCAGGAGGATCTAGTTTAAAATCCATTCTCTCCCCTGGCTTCTCCCTAGAACCCCCACCCCCACCCCCACCCCCACCGCGCCACCTCCCGCCGCGGCAGGAGCCGCACAGGGGCCGGGGGTCTGGGGCGCCGCGCTCCCGGGCAAGGCGCAGGCAGCCGGCAGAGCGATGCCTCAGTCGGGTTGTGCCTGAAGAACTGCTGGGGCTATTGTGTCAACTGAGGTAAAGTTAAATATTTATACTCCAAGTTGTTGCCATTCTTTTTTGTTCTGTTTTTGAAGAAGTCCAGCGTGTGCAAACTCACTTTCAGCATAAATCCTGGTCTGGGGGCGCAGAACCTGCCGCCTGTCACTGGAGGTGACTTTTTGAAAGGTCTTCATTTTAGCTCAGAAGTGGAGGGGGAGTTAGTTGTCTACAAACCACAGGGGTTCATTCAAATTTATGTGTATAATGTGTGTGTATATATAAACACATATGAAAAGGAAGAAAGGGTCTCTCGTTGCAAATGAATCCCAATACAATTTCCAGTAAGATACTCTCACAGAGGAAGAAAATATGAAAAGCTCGTTGTATTTGTCTGAGTTCAACTTAATGAAATTCGGAGACGCTGGCTGTCTGGTCAGTGTTCTAAGTAAATGAATGCAAAGGTCCTTAGGAAGAGACTGGAAACACCTCTTGCCATTCATCTTCAAGCACTTGGAGAGTATGATTAAAAGAATGGGATCACGAAGCATTATCATCTCAAATAGCTGTGAACGGTCCCCACCCCTTTATTGTGGCAACAAAATAAACTCTCCAGCAGGAATAGTGTTTCTTCCTATTTTATCTTTGTTTCTGTTTTGCTTTCAGGGCAAAAGGGGAAAAGACAAGCAAAGAAAACCTTCTCAGAAGTCTTGTTTGCTGCTGTTAAAAGGCTGTTGTTCATTTCTGACGTCCTCATCTTTCACTCCAAAGGAAAAGAATCGAATGATGTGCCTACATTTGACGAGAAGAAAACACTAGCAACAACAGTGAAGGTGCATTGGTTTTATTTTCCTTTTCCCCTGGGGGAAAAAAAGATTACTCTCCACTTTAGCGAGGGGAGGCTGTGGACATGGAGAAGGCGTTGTCCACGTCTAGTTGCTGACTTTCATCCCTTGGCTTTGGTAGGCTTTTGTGTCAAATAGAAATCCCCGAAAAGAGAATTAAATACTTGCCAATAAACAATATTACATTTCAAGCAGACTCCACCTGGTTCTGTATTTAAGAACTGGAAGGGGTGTGTGTGTGTGTGTGTGTGTGTGTGTGTGTGTGTGCGCGCGCGCGCGCGCGCGCGCCCGCCCCTGTTCTTTCCCCCTAAATTTCCCCCTAATAACCCCCAAAGCCTTCCTTAGACACGGAGAGTGAGAGCCCTATTAGTGGACATCCTGACAAAAGTGAAAGCAGTGCCCCTCTGCTCCTAGAACCCTAGGGAAGGACACCCCAAAAAAACGCACAAGTGGGTGTGGTGGTTTTTTTTTTTTTAGAGCCCCGAGTTGGGCAGATCTTTCAGAGAAATACACAATAACTAACATTTCAAAAATCAAAATGCTGAAAGGAAGGGCAGTGGCTAACAAAACAAAAACAAAAACAAAAAACAAACAAACATGCTAAACATTATTCTTCAAACCCTGCACATTTCCAGGTGCTCCAGAAAATCAGTGCAAATGCGCCCCCTCTAACTGAGCAGACAGCTCTCCCCGCCCGCGGGAGCTGCTACCCCAGGTGCCAGCTGCTACCCCAGGTGCCGTGAGCTGAGGCTCCTACCAAACCAGGGAGGAGACCCTAATAGGCCCAGGGAGGCCGACTGTCCTGCCAAAGGGACCTGGATCCCGGGTCTGAGGCGCTCGCAGCAGCCTGCCCAGTCCAGCAGCCTGCCCAGTCGGGCCAGGCTCCCCTGCCCCGTGGACTAAAGGCTGCAAGGCCAGGTGGGTCCAGGAGTGAGTGTGAAAGGCGATGGAGGGAGACGGTCCAGCCCTCCCCGTCTACCTCCCCCAGGTGTGTGAGTGTGAGTGTATGTGTGAGACTGTGTGTGAGAGAGAGAGTGTGTGTGTGTATGTGAGAGAGAGAGTGTGTGTGAGTGTGAGTGTGTGTGTGAGTGTGTGTGTGTGTGTGTGAAACACGTGCCCTTGGAGTGGGCCTCTGGCCGCAGAGGTCAGTGGGGAAGTTCACCCACGCGGCGGCTTCCTGGGCCCTGAACCCACACTTTGTCCTGTCCCCCACCCTCCGCCCAAGACACCCTGCCGGCCGTGCCCGCACAGGTGTGGAACCTTTAACTGGAAAGCGCCCGAGAAAAGATCCCCGGGAGGAAAGGCGGCGGGGGCGGGGAGAGGTTGTGGGGGGGGGGGGATAGGGAGAAGGACTCCCAGCCCTCAGACATCCCTGTCTCCCAGGAATTGTCATCACACCCTTCTTTCCACCCTGACCCCCGGTATCCTAAAAGCAGCGATGGGTTCGCGGGAAAACCGAGCCCACGGAAACGTCGGGCTTTGACGCGGGAGGGCTCTTGAGACCTGGGCAGGCTTTGCTTAGATTCAAAAGTATGATTTTAATTTTCTTAATGAAGGCGCTCTCCAGAGCTCAGCTGGTAATGGCTGCGCTGAGTCTAATAGACTTCTGTCGAACAGGAAAAGACGGATAACTATCGGTTATAAGTAATCTGCTCTAATGCAATTATATTCCCAGGTTCCAATGTCATTGCTGCAGAAGGGGGCGGGCGTGAAGGAGGGCCCGGGACCGCCTACGCGGGCAAGGAAGTGGCCTGGGAGCTGAGCCCAACCTGTTCTGCGAGGCGCACTTGGGTTTGGGGGTCGGGGTCCAAGGCTTCGGAGGCCTTGCTTGCTCTGCAGTGTGAAAACCTCTCCCTCCCTCTCTCCCCCTCTTCACCCTCCGTCCTCCCCTCTCTGCTTCTCCTGTTCTCTCCTCCCCTGTCTTCTCTTCTCTCCCAGAGTTAAAGGGAATGTCCTCTCCCTTCCCTGTGTTTTGCCTCGTTGCAGGCAGATCCGTGTAGACCAGTGTCTTGCCCAAACACTCACACAGAAGGAGGCTCTTGGAATGTGTCGCCCCATTCACCTTCTGAAACCAATAAAACTGGAATGTTTAAGATCCTGGAGATGCCGCACATACACAGTCAGTATACCAGGAGGCTTATTCTATCCAGGTCCCTGTCCAAAAGTAGCTCCAATCTCACCTCTTACACCGGCTGTCATTACTGGTAGGCTTTTTGTTGTTGTTGTTGTTTATTTGTTTGTTTTGAAAGAGGGCTAATCAGAGCCCATTGTTGGTTTGTTTGTTTGTTTTTTAATATTTGTATTGATTTCAGAGAAGAGGGGAGAGATGAGAGATAGAAAGATTAATGATGAGGGAGAATCATTGATCAGCTCCCTCCTGCCCGCCCCCTCCTGGGGATGGAGCCCACAACCCAGGCATGTGCCCTTGACAGGAATGAAACCTGGGACCCTTCAGTCTGCAGGTTGACACTCAAACTACTGAGCCAAACCGGCTAGGGCTTTACTGATAGTTTTTATTTAAAATTATCAGAACCCACCTTAGCTCTCCAGTTCACTTTGCCTGGTCAAACACAATCTCAGGCCAACATGATTAAAAGTAATAATAATAACAAAAGTCATAATTTCCCTTCTGCCAGTAAACAAGCCAAATCCACACAAGGAAAGCCTTGCCTTCTCACCTAGAAGAAGGATTGGAAAAGGCAGGCAGGCCCGCAGGCCAAGAGCTGACCTGGGGCAGGACAGGCACCTGCGAGCCCATCTCTCTGCCCTGAGCCTCTGCCCTGAGCCTCTGCCCAGCCTTTTCCCCTCCCTCTCTCTCCCAGGACTGGGGAACAAAGAAAGTTTTGGGGACTGATGCACAAAAGGGTTAAGTGAACCCTGAGTTACAGGTTTCTGTTCCAGACCCTGGAGGTGAGGAGAGGGTAGCTCTCTGGTGTGTCTCTGACTCAAGTTGCACAGACTCACTCACCTAAGTTCTCGCCTTTTACAGCCTCTCTCCCTCCCTCTCTCCTTTTCTGTTACATGCACACCATGAGCACACAAGTATCCAAAAAGCTCTGTACTTACTATCTCCTCTTCCCTGACCCAACCATACCCCCCGCCATGCTTCTAGTCTCAGAAGTAAATAAATACATAAATAGATATGAAAGGAGAAACATCAAAACAAAAACCCATTGGCAAACCCCTCAGTCCCCCTGGCTGGAAGAGCACAGCTGGTGCCCAACACAGGAACTTGGGGTGTGGCTGGGAGCCAGGCCCTTTGCTGCTCTGGGCCTTGGGTAGACACCCATCTTGGAGCCAGAGGGGGGGGAGGTTCAGTGAGGGGGGAGCTTTCCACCTTCCTCTTCTCAGGCTTCTGGGAAGGGAATTGGGAGGCAATCCAGTCCTCAGGCCCCAACACTTCCAGGACTTGGAGAAGCCAGCAGGGCGAGCACCTCCCAGGTGCCCAGATGTGACTGCATGGGGTTCCACTCCCAGAGCCAGGAAGTCTGCCACCAGGAGAGCTGCACCTGGATTTCTTTTAAGCGCTCAGCCTCCAGCGCCAGCCCCCTCCAGCACCAGCCCCTCCAGCGCCAGCCCCCTCCAGCACCAGCCCCTCCAGCACCAGCCCCTCCAGCGCCAGCCCCTCCAGCGCCAGCCCCTCCAGCACCAGCCCCTCCAGCGCCAGCGCCCTCCAGCGCCAGCCCCCTCCAGCTCCAGCCCCCTCCAGCACCAGCCCCCTCCAGCACCAGCCTCTCCAGCGCCAGCCCCCTCTAGCACCAGCCCCCTCCAGCACCAGCCTCTCCAGCACCAGCCCCCTCCAGCACCAGCCCCCTCCAGTGCCCTCCAGTACCAGCCCTCTCCAGCACCAGCCCCCTCCAGCATTAGCCCTCTCCAGCACCAGCCCCTCCAGCAGCCTCTGCTGGAAGGTGGTCTTCAGGGCCACTGGGTGACTTAGTGGCTTCAGGTGGCACCAGGGATGGAAGAACAGCCTGTGGCTCCAGGAGCAGGTTTGGAACAAGAGAAGGAGCGACTGTCAGAGCATTTCTCCCCACCCTAACTCTCTCTTGGACGAAGTCCCTGTCCTCCCTTCCAGGGCTCTCCTGCAGTAAAACTGCTGTGCTGTGCTGTTTGGCGACTTAGGAGAGCAACAGCAAAGACCCAGAAAGCCTCGCAGGCTTTAGGTGGATCTAATTCTGTTTTTGAGAAGTAGCTGGGAGAGGAGAGGAAAGACATTCTATTGCCCAACAGTGAGTTTTCCAAGCTCCCCCTCAGCCAGGTGAGGTTGAAAAAATGAGAAAAAGCCCATTTCCCCACAATCCTCAGGAAGAGTAAGAATCACCACTCTTACCCTAGCTGAGAAGGCCTTGCAGAGGTGGCTGGACCCCAGCCTGTGTGCTTGCCCTGTCCAGGCGGGCGGGCCACTCTAGGCTTCCAGTCTACTCTCCCCCCTGCAGCACCTGACGGAGGTTGGGGGGGTGGGGGTGAGGGTGGGGGGTGGGTAGTCTGAGGACACACCAGGAGGCCAAGGAGTTAGGTTTGCTTCTCCCTCACTTACTCTCCTATTTTAAAGTCAATATAGGAGAACATTTTTTTCCAGTAAATCAAATGTGTAATTATATTCGTATAGAATTAAGGCATAAAAATGATCCTTTCTTCAACTGTACTTAGACGTTTTTATTTATTATTATTATTTAATATATTTTATTGATTTTTTTTTTTTTTACAGAGAGGAAGGGAGAGGGATAGAGAGTTAGAAACATCAATCAGCTGCCTCCTGCACACCCCCTACTGCGGATGTGCCCACAACCAAGGTACATACATGCCCTTGACCGGGATCCCTTCAGTCCGCAGGCCAACGCTCTGTCCACTGAGCCAAACCGGTTAGGGCTATACTTAGACATTTTTAAAGAGCTGCCTTGAGCATGCATGCTTTTATAGAACAAGATGTTTAAATGTAGGCTTTACGGACAAGGGACCCTGAGAATGCTTGAGGTTCCCTTCTACTGCCTTCACATAAATAAGAAGGCAGGGGAGGGAGCCTTAAGAATATCTCAGGTGATAAGAGCTCAGAAAATAAACTAATCTATGCACGAAAACAACACACTTTTTGCACCTTTAAAGTTGTTTTCCCTATAGGAAGTTAGAGGCAAATACCTGACTGCAAAGTTAAGATTTTTTTTCTGCTTACTTATTTATGCAAGTCTCTTAA